CTGATATTTGACAGGTCGTTAGAGAATGATTGCAATTTATGGAATGTAAAGAATGTTAGAAAAGTTGACGTAAAAAATAATTAAAATTCCTAAAATTGTTATATAAGAAATGCATAAGCGGATTTTAAGAAAAATTAATATTAAAGTAGTTAGGATGAACCGAAAATTCTGAAAATCAATAGGGTTCTAGGTTAGAAGTAATTATTCAAGAAAATCAAAACCGCAAGTCAATCAGAACTTTCGTTCTAGAGTTATTGTGCCAGCATACATACACACTGACGACCAGACGAACATTTTTTTTGCATTTTCGGATTCAGAATGATCGGAAACAATCAAAACCGCAAGTCAATCAGAACTTTCGTTCTAGAGTTATTGTGCCAGCATACATACACACTGACGACCAGACGAACATTTTTTTTTGCATTTTCGGATTCAGAATGATCGGAAACATAAAAAAAGTTTTAAAAAATGGGGGTAATAATTTTTTTTCGTCTACACGAATGCAATACTGAGGCCTCATAGGAAGGGCCTCAGTAATTTTGTTTGAGAACTACAAAAATGCATCTAGTCGCGAGTTGGTTAACGGTAACATATTAGTAGAGTAGAGCACCAGGTGACTTAATTTTAAATTAAATAGATTTCAAAGAAAATCGAGTGGAATTTCTATACAATTTAATAGAAAATGAAGCAACAGAAACATCAAATCTCAACTCAAGAGGAATTTTCATTCCAAAAGAATTGTGTTTTTCCGTTTTTATTTGTTGATAGGGTAATGAAACCTTTACAAAAACCTTACATTGGACCATATAAGGTTTTGAATAGAAGAGATGGCGTTTTCACATTGCTAATAAATGAAAAAGAAAAATCAGTCAATCAATTGAAAGACTGAAACCTGCAGTTGCAGAGAACAATTTCGAAGAAGATTAGCAAAATATTGGTACAAACTTTCGAGACGAACCCAAAAAACAAGATAAATCTAAAGAATACGTGACCCGTTTTAGTTAAATGTTTATTGAAAAATTTTTATTTTTGAAGGGAGGAGTGGTGTGTATATTTCAATCTCATTTGATAAGATATGATTTTTGACTTTGATTGACGACTGATAAAAACTGTTGTCAGTAATAAAGGTTACGAAAATCTATAAATTGTATAATTGCTACTTAACAAGGATCCTTTATTTTATTATAAAAAACGTTAATTTTTCAATACTGACTCCAGAAGAATTATATAAATAAACGATGTTATTGAAAAGATTAAGATAAAACAATATATGGAATCCCACAACTGCGATACTACCTATAACCTATCACGATCAAATATAATTAAGCGTCTCATCTTTATTTTGTTTTGATGCGTTGGTTTACGTACTGTATAATATACTTATATTCCTACTACTCCTAAGATACTGTTACAACCTTTTGAATTTTCATTGGTTCGGTCGTCGGTCACAGGTGTTTGTGTCCTCCATGTTTAAAAATGTTTTTAGGAACAAACAGCATTTCAACAGTCAGCTTTGAAAATAACCTTTTAGATATAAATCACCTAAAAATACATATGACCACGATGCGATGATCCGAGAATTTTTCGATATTTTGTAAAAGCGCAGATTTAAATTTAGCCGCGGTATCCAGAAGAAATCTGTTTGTTAAGGATCACGTATCTGGCTGTCGAAAATAGATTCGGAGAATGTTGTTTGAAATCTAAATTCAACTTAAGTTATACTTGAAATAATAAAGTATGGAGAAGTTGCACTGCATCTAATTTTAAAATAGTTACATTTTGTTTATCGTAAAATAGAAATTTTATTTGAACATTTGTTTGCTTTAAAGGATTATGTTCCAAATATTTATCTATGGATTTGATATTCATAGTTGAAAAGTGCATCTAATATACATACAAAGGAGTTAAGCAAATAAAATGGTTCATTTGTTTATTAATCTTTTGCTTGATTCATTTTCTATTAGATTAATTTTTGGAATAAAAAACAAGAAGGAACTGGATACATTATAGACAAAAACTAGAGTAAGAATAATCAAACGGAAATGGCAGACCATCACTGTACGAAGAGATTAGTTAACTGGAGACTTGGCGGGGACAGAAGCAGGGGACTTCCAGTTAGCTGCTGCAAGGAAAAAATTAAAAGAATAGCAAAAAATTGGATCAATAATGCAAGGAACAGAAAAATTGTAGAGAATTAACATCAACACTGTTAAAACTAGAAAAAAGTTACAATGTAAAAAGGATCTTTTTAGTGATATTGGGTATAAAAAGAATAATTTCAGTAGGTACATACCGCAGTTCTCAAAATAATTTTTTAAATAAACATTTTCAAAAATAAAATTACATTAAAAAAATTTAAAAACTTGATTTGTTTACAAATAATTATTAATTAAAAAAGTGTTTAACACAAAAGAAAGGCAAACGCACATCCTTCCGGTCTTATTTAAAGTGACAAAATCACATTTAAAAACTCTAGGAGATATTGAAGAAAAGATAGGTCTTCTACAATTAATTAAAATGTTAATGAACACCATTAAAAATATTTATTTTTAATTTTGAAGAAACTGATTAATAATAGTTAAAAACATATAATTTGCAAATCCGATAACCTTATTCTGGGCAACGGCTGTATCTGAGAATATTTTGAAGGAGAAATTTTTTGATTGAAACGAAAAGTTTAGTCGACCTTTGTGTCATATTTTTAAATATCATACGTCATTCCCCTCTCCCAGGGCTGACTAGAGGGGGGGGGCAGCCGGGACTAATTCCCGGGGCCCGGACTCAAATGGTGGCCCGGCAGCGGTATAAGGGGGACCCGAGGGAGTTTTTGGTTTGGGTACCTTTTTTTTTAGAAAATTCATTTCAAGTAGAGGAGGAAAAGTTTTTGTTTGAAGAGCTTTTTTTTTAGAGCAATTTAAGTAAAGATGAGAGAATATTTTTTATAAAATTGTCACGGGACCGATCTAGAGACTTGTCCTGGGGCCCAGCCTGGCTCTCGGCGGCCCTGCCCTCTCCTTTTTCTCCTAAACCAATATAATAATTAAATAGGGAAAGTACTAATTTTATGGAAAATTCGTCAATATGTCTATTTATTACGTTACTTTTGTTTTAACGCCTTATAGCGGAATGAAAAACTTACGTATTGTAAATTATGACACCTCATTTGAAAGCTAGTTTTTTAACAATCTAATGCATTACAAAATAAAATATAATTGAATGAAACATGACCTTAAATATGAAATCTAAATTTCAATCGCTACCAATCAAAATAATAAATTGAAATCTTCAGGAAAAATCAAGCTTTATTATAGGGAATGAAGCCTATTGATTTTAAAAATGATTGAAAATGGAGATTAAGGGGGTTTGTTAAACTATGAGCATAATAATTAATTAAAATATAAATAAAACTAAAGCCAATATCACATAAATTATGAGCGACCGTCTTCCTTCAGAAAACAACTACTTCTTTGGCTAATACCGCAACAGGTATTGAATTATATCCAAAGGATATTTGTTACAAATTGCCAGCCTGGCCGTTTGGTTCCACCTAGTTTTCTAACTGGGTACTACAGCGGCCTTTGATTTTGCTTACTAGGAACAGATGGCGACACCATTTCACTTCTTGAATTCTTACTCTCTTTCTAACTAACTTTGTTGTGTACTGGTGAAATGTGTAGCATTTGTTAATTCCATTAGAGACTGGATTTGAGAACCTATCTATTTCTTGTTGAAGAGTCCTAATTAGGACGAAACCGGTCCAAGAATGATGTTCTTCTTAGTGTTGAAATTTAATTGTCTATCTCTGCCCGTCTTTTCTTTGGATATAATTCAATACCTGTTGCGGTATTAGCCAAAGGAGTAGTTGTTTTCTGAACGAAGACGATCGCTCATAATTTATGTGATATTGGCTTTAGTTTTATTTATATTTTACGTCTTGATCACATTTGAGTTTGAAATATTTTTCTTGTTATAATAATAAATGCCAAGGATTATATATCTTCATTCTAGAATATCTAAAAGATTTCGTACTATTAATATTGTTAAATCCTATTTTAATAGAAAGGGTTTGTTATTGAAACTGGTTTCAGAAGTAGATGGAATCCGCAGAATTGTATAAGTATAATTATAGAAATACATAACTATTAACAGGTATTTTAACCTTATACACATATTTAGATAATAATCTAGGCGATTTATGAATACACAGGCGTTAATTATAATTTTTTGTGCACAGTAGAAAATAATGAAATTGTAAATTAGGAAAAATTTTAGGTTATATTTATACTACAGTTGATTTATAATAAACTACACCTACTATTAGTCCGTCAGATAGTGACAGGTTTAGGTGCCCCATTTTCACAAGCCTCGAAGAGGTTAAAAAGTACATCGATTTTAAGTAGAATGAAAGGCAATTTACGAGTGGCTCCTGGAGATAACACATGCATAATTCGATTTTCCCTAACAAAAATGAAAGGTGATTTGTAGCCCATATTTCCACGCAAGTCGTTTTTACTATATGATTAATTATTAGAACTAGGTTTCGGAAATCAAAGGCTTTAATGTTGCATGTGGCTAAAGGGGTTGAAATAAGGGCGTAATCTTCTAAGGAAAAATCGTCACTAGTCCGTAAAACAAATTTCCTTTAATTACCCGAATGTATAAGTGGATTTTGGGGTGGGAAATTTTTTCTGATAGGGAAAATCGAATTTTCCATGTGTTATCCCCAAGAGCAACTCGTAAATTTTCTTTTATTCTACTCAATGTCGATGTACTGTTCAACACTCTTGGAGGCTTGTATGCGAAAATGGTCCACCTAAATCGATCACTATCTGACGGTCTATATGGTTTCTTTTAAAATCATGCTCATCACAATTAACTACCTCAGCTATAGAAGAAAAAAAATGTTTGTCATTCAATGAGCTGCTAAAACAAAGAAATCCGGAATCATGTAGATTTCTGCATTGTACATCTTTATTATGATTGCTATTTTTTAGACTTACTTGTTGATGTTTTCCATCATTTTGAATTGACCACCGGATGTGTTGATTTTAGGAATAGATCCAGGAGCCAATTTGTTGATGACTTGACATAGAACGGTACCGTCACGGATGACATCTTCGTAGGCTTCACCTGGGGGGAATTTGGCACCAAGGATGGTTTCGATCCATTCTTGGGCTTCTTTGTCTTGATTGGGGTCGCGCTTGGCGGCCATCTGCAAAATAAATGACAGAATTAAAACTAATAATGAAATTATTTCATTAAATATGTTAAAATTAGTGGAGTTTTATTTAAAAGTAAAATGTAATTTTATTTATAATTTATATCTTTTTATAGTTATTTATGCAACAAGTGGAAAAAGTGTTTATTGCACGCGACGTGAACACTTTTTGCACGAGTTGCATACAATATTTTTTCTACGTTCATGCAAAAACCAATAAATGTTTTATTTAAGCGACACTAAGTTCAGATGAATAAAAAGCGTAATTTAATAGCAAAATATTTAATAATTAATAATTAGCATCGATTAACATTGAAAAAGTACTAAACCTATGTTAAGAAAAATAATTTGACCAAAACTTTAGGAACAACTGTGTTATGAACAACAATTAAGCTTAAACGTTGTTTTTGCCACTAATACTAAAAGTAAATGTACAATTTGTACAATTTTCAATATTAATATTTTTTAAAACGTAATACAATCTCACAGCAAATGAAAATGGACTAAATATTTGGTGTCGATTTGAATATTTATGTTTGTCATGATCATAAAACGCTATAGTAAAATGACAGATGAGTGCAATAAAATTTTTATTTCACTTATGCAATAAAGAACCAGTTTTTTTACTAAATACAGTTCAATAAAGTTTTGTTTTTTGCATGAACGTAGAAAAAATATTTTAAATGTATTATCAAAAAATATAAATTATTTTACTGTCAAATTAATACATGTATGGAAAATTTTATTCCATATCCATTGATTGATTTGTTTAAGTCGGTAAGTACTTTATTTTTGTAGAGGAGATCGGAACATCAATTACAGGGTGTTTTAAAACTCGTGCCCTGTAGAACACAAGCTTATTCCTGGTACAAAATTATATGGAATATAATTTTTTTTTTGAACCCTATTAACAAATACCGTTTAAACGTAGAGTGCATAATATACAGGGTATGTATGGAAAGAAACGGTCGATTATCTTCTATAGTAAAAAAGCTAGGAAAAATGTTAAATACAAAAGTTTAGAATTTTTAAAAAATTAATTACTGTAAAGGTAAATTAAGGAAACAGGGCCAGTCAAAAAGTCACGGTTAAGCCTAGATTGAAAATATATAGAATTTTGTTGAGATTAATTGATATATTGAATAATATATAGGGTGTTCCATTAAAAAAAAAGCAACTTTGTTTTGTCATGACTTTTTGACTGACTCTGTTTACTTAATTTGTTTTCATTGTAATAGATTTTAAAAAACACTAAAACTTTTGTGTTTAAATTCTTCTCTAGCTGTCTTATTTTAGAAACTAATCGACCTTTTTTATACACATCAGCGACTCTGTATAATATAATAAATTCTGATAAAAAAATCAAATCAAATCTTAAAATATCATTTAAAAACAAACAAAAAAAATTAAATCAGAAAACAAAGCAAGTGTAACTTTTTGTAAAGAACTAAGCAAACAGTAATTTATTTAAAAATTATTTTTAAGAATATAATATAATTTTTTCCAAAATATGTAAGTGTGTATCTTCACAAAGGCAATATCTTTCTGAAATGGATTTTGGAAGATATATTGCTTCTGACTAAAAAATAATTAGTTGTGTTGAGGTTATTTAATAATTATTATTTCTTGAGAAAAATTTTATTCTGTAAAAGGACCAAAAATAAAATAATAGTTTAAAAAAAATAAAAAACACATTTTATTAGAAAAGCAAACTAAAAAGTAGAAAATAATTTTCAATAAATTTAAATTAAGAATAGTGTGATTAACAAAAAAATTATTTTATTGTAGAAAAGTGTGGGGTGCTTTTTAAGATATTTCCATAATGACTCCACTTTTACCAATATCTGTTATTAAAATATAACAATTGACATCAAGCACCCCACTATTCTACAAACTTTTTTATTAAATTTCATTTATACAAATATACCTCCGTATATATTCATCCATATATTCAGTTTTGTTTAAATTGAATTTAAAAATTCGTGGTTAACTTTTTTAAAATTGTTTGTTTATGGAAAACCGAGTGGTAAGCTACTAAGGTCAAAACGCATCCGTATTTCGGGAATCGCCTAAAATTCTTACGATTTCCGTGATTTTGCTAACCTCCAACTTAATATTAGACGATTCGCCGATATCCTCATTTTATACAACCCCTGTGATATTGGCGGAATGATTTAATAATATTTCTAGAAAATCTATCACAGGGATAACTGACTAACTGCATCTAAAGCGAAGTTAAGCTGAGTTTTTATAGGGACTAATCATAATAATGAGTACATGGATGAATAGAGGATCGAAAGAGATGGTAAAAAATGCACCCCTTCCTCTCAACTCCTAACATTGAATAAAATTTGATAAGGTATCAGATTTGGAAAATCGCTAATACTAAAGGTCCTGATCAGGATACTGGGACAAACTATTTAAATTATTGCATTGTCATCCATCCTTGATAAGTGTGCAAAGTTTCAAATCAATCTGTGGATGAAAAGGTGAAAAGAGGGTTAAAATCAAAGATATATACATACATACATATAAAGTTAATAAAAGCGTATTAAAAATGAAGAAGGAAAGTTATCTAATTTCCTATGAGGAACAAGCATGTAGTTTGTGAGGCGCGAATTAAGACCCTGTATCCTGTATATTATCAATAAAAAAAAAACATCGATGCGCTGTGGTGTTTTTCAATTTGCCAGATCTTAACGTGTCTCAATAATTAACAATTTAATATTAGCATAGCTGGAATTGAAAATGTAAAATAAAAAGAATGTAAGTTGTAAGTAAAAAAATAATATAAAAAGGATGTCCACATCTTATAGTGCAAAACAATAATTTAGAAATTTTAGTTTTTGAATTCTTGCTATTCTTGTCTTTATACTAAATATATTGTTTTTATATATTTAATTTATTTTTAATAATTTTACTATTATTTGTTTTTAAACATTGTTATTTATTTTTTAATTTACAGTAAAGCTATTCAGAAGAGCTTAAATTTGGATCTTTGTTGTAAATTTCATAATAATTTTGTGTTTAGTACTTATATGTATTATTTCTTTTTTAAATCCTATATGATGGAAAATATTGCATTTATCATATTGTATTTTTGCAAGCAATTTATAAAATAATTTTTGAATAAGATTTATTATCAGTTAGACCAAATAGAAAATTTCCAATTTGTTTATCGATTGTATTTTATATAAAAATAAAAATATTTAAAATGTAAGAAGAATTATTAAAAAATTATAAATAGTGATGGACGATTTAATTTAAGAACATTGAACTTGCCTAAGGAATTTATTTTAGATTGTTCTATTTTTTAGAAACATGCAATTAAACAGATTTGCATTTAAAAATTAATAACTCCATTGAATTGTATATTTTAAGAATGACTTAGGATATCGTAGCAGATTTTAAAGTGTTCAATTATGTCCTTATAAAGTAGGAAAAAAATCCTTTTTATCACCTTTGTTTGTGCGATTTTTTTTAGTTATGTTATGTATTTTATTATAATTATATTTTTTGATGATTACGATCTATTGTAATTGGAAAATATCCGTTTTAATTTTTTATTTAACCTGTTCAAAACTCCAATAAAATGTATATACATTTATGTTCAGTGAATTAATATAATCCAATCATATATCAAAATTATCATAATTTTTAACATTTTCAATCTAAAATATTATTTCAAAATGAAATTAAACAAATCGCAATTGGTTTACCCTATTTTCATGGTAGAAGACGCCAATGTACAGAAGCTTCATTCAATAATTTCTGTTTCGAATAAACATTTTCATTTACTCATGCAGTTAATATTTCTTTTATATTTTCAATTTGATATTTTTTTTTGAATTTTAAATTCTTTTATAACTTATTAATAATAAATATAAAAACAAACGGCATCTGCATACCTATTGTCCAATATTAATTGTTGAGTAAAAAATCATTTAAATGATAAAAATACAATTACCATATTATTTATAAAAAAAGAATATACACACGTATATTCTTTACAAATAATTTTATCTGCAATTATTTTTTTTTGCTAGATAACATAATCAAAAATCTTATAAAAAAACTAAAACTCTCTTACCTTATTACGGACTTGACGTTCCAAAGACATTTTGTATGTATGTATGAGTCACTGGTGTGCTGAAAAATTTACAACTTCCAAAGAACTGGATCAAAACTGCGTCCAACTGCTTTTATATCGGCTATCCTTTTCTAACATCAGTCCCACTCATCTGAAATCATCGCTACGTATGTACCAACCAAAACGTGGCGACTCCCTAAATTTAGAAAATTATTCATGATTTTGAAAATCATTATTTTTACTGGATATGTTATTAAACATTGAAGAATGCGCATACGTGTTTTATTTAGACTGTATCCTAAAAATATCATTGAAAGAGAAAAAATATGGTGTAAATGGTATTAGGAGTAAAAGTAGGACATAGTATGGTTTAAAAATCATTTAAAAACATTCAAGAAAACTATAATAAGAGGGTAATTTTTAATATGGTTTATAGAAATTATACGTTCCATTTATATGAAAACTGAAATTTAAAGATTATGTTGATTGGAAAATAAAAAATATGAAATTATTTTTTTAGAAAAAAAAGTTAAAAGAATAACTTAATAATGACGACGTAAAGTTATAGTTATAACAGACTATATTCAATTCAGAATCTTTTCTTCACGAAAACGGAACTCCTCAAGGATCGATTATTATCAAAACCACACTTTTTGTGGCAGCAATGAAAAATACAATATTTATAGATTTACACACCTAGTAAAATAAAAATTCTAAGCTGACGATCTAATTCTCATAGCCAAAGTATATTCGAAGAAGGGAATCCCAACATTTTAAATTTTAATGTGGTTATATTTAATGAGATAAATGAAATTCGAAATCTAGAGGGTGTTTTAAACCAGGTGGCCTTGTTGCTAGAATAGGTAAAACACTGCAAAATAAGTTGGATTTGTTCAGTAAAAAATTTTCGTAACGGCATCCGTTTTCAAGATACAGGGTATTAAAAAAAAGTTATACACACTTTTTACGATTATGTCGAAACTACTTGCAACATTGTAATAAAATTTTGTACGAATATGTTTTGAAAGCTGACACATCTCGTAAATTTGTTTTTATATTTACCTCTTATAGAGGGCGCTGGTTACACGTTTCGTACCGAGTAGTTTTAAACATAACTTTTTTGAAATTAAATTTTCTAGAGCAATTTTTATGTGAACTCAAACATCTTTTAATTTTACACCAAAAAGTCACTCTTACTAAAACTCGATACTTTGTACCTTTTTCGAAATATTTTGATTTCAAAATGATAAAGTAATAGCTGATGCTGATATAAAGTAAGTATTTTTAAAAACAAATTCCTATTAATTAAAAACCAAAAACAATAAAAATTCACCTTCACACGCTGAAACAAAAAGATGGGGTTTCTGTTATTTTGAAAATTTTGAACTGTTTGTAATCATCTCCATGTGTTTTTTAATGTTTTTAAATTTCGAAACATATGTAGTGCTGTGCTAACGATATAAAATAAAATTAATGACCGATTACACCAAGGAAATTTTTATTTATATAAAATTCTGCTACGGTCAGGAAATTATCCTTAATCAAAAACAATAACAATAATCTAATACTAATTCTAATTAAACAAAGAATCACAAAAAGAAAACTGAAAGAAATTTAACTAAAAACATAAAATATTATATAGTATATATAGTAAATGTTCAAAAATGTCCTTCGTTAAGAAAGTTTAGAATTCGTCGCAAACTTCAAAATGGTATTATCTGAGTTAATTATGGAAAACTGACATTTGTTGATAGTTTAGACGGTAATGTCAATAACATTGAATATTGTTGATCAATACGTTAATTAATAATCAAAATGTATTCAAATGTTGAATACACCAACATGTTATTAACCTTAACGAGGAAGTGCGTTAAAACTTTTAGAATCTTATTTATCTGGACGCTTTCAGGCTGTTACATTTCAGAACCAAAGGTCAAATTTTAGTTCGGTTAAGCATGGAGTTCCACAGGGCTCTGTCTTAGGACCATTATTATTTATTATATATACCAACGATTTAAGTAATTATATGGGTCCTTTTAAATCTGTTCTATTTGCAGACGATACCACTTTTGTGTACTCTGCAAAAAATGAAATTGAATTGAAAAATACTGCAGTAACTATTATCGCTAAAGCTGAACATTGGTTCTTAGCTATCAATCTCATGTTAAATCAAAATAAATCTCAGGAATTGCAGTTTTCTTCGGTTACCGATTCTCAAAATTGCAATAGTACTAAGTTACTTAAAGTTATGTTAGATAGTAATTTAACTTGGAGAATTCATATAAATAAATTAAAACCTAAATTATGCAGTACCTTATATCTGTTGAGGTAGCTTAAAACAGATCGTAACATATTAAGAACAATTTACTTTTCTCTATACCATTCCCACATAAATTATGCCACTGCACTTTGGGGTAACAGTTCAGATGCAATTTTGATTTTTCTGCTGCAGAAGAAGGCTGTTAGAATCATAACTGGTTCCAAATTTAGAGAACATTGTCAGCCCTTGTTTATTCAGCAAGGAATAATGCCTCTACCAACGATTTATATATTTAGTGTCCTTTTGTAAATTTATAAGAAATTACCATGTCTTTCTAGGCAGTCCGACATTCTCAAATATCCTACCAGACAAGCTAACAACTTAAGAATAAATAGATATCGTCTAAATAAATCAAAAAACAATTCCCTCGACCTTGGTCTTTATAATGTATTGCCATCCGAGTTTGGGCTGCTGGAGTTCAATTCATTTAATAAAAAATTAAAAACATTTATGTTGACACATTGTTTTTATTCCGTAGAGGAATATATCGATCGGTGTAAACTTACATAGTTCTTAAACCTTCTACTCAATTTGTTTTCTCTTCTCTTTTATATATACTCACCTAACTTAATTTGAGTTATTTTATTCTACTTAACAATTATATGTATGTAGTTATTTCATTGTGTAGTTCTGTATTTTATGCTTAAAAATAAGCTGTTATTTTAATATGTACGTTTTGTGACTTGGGTTATCCCCACAGCTTCTTACAGTTTCTCACTATGTGCATCCTACTGAATATGTGAGGCCTCTCTTAGCTTGTCAGCAGATATAATTTATTTGACAAAGTAGCCTAGAGGTGCTTTTTTGATATTTTTAGGTATTAGCATGATTGTGGGTGGGGTTTTCTGGGTTTTCCTCACCTTTAAGTCAGATGGCACCATCAGTCATCTTTAAGTCGCCCCGGAGTGCCACGGCAAATAATAATAATAATAGCCGTCCGTTCCCTGGCCAAGCTCAGCTTTTGGGGTAAAACATTTACTCGTAAGGGGGTGAATTAGGGAGAGTATTATGAGTATTACTAATAATAATATTAATAATATCACTCCCCGATCACAAATCTTCTAATATATAAGAACATCAGACAATCGTTGAGGATAAGCTCGATAGTCTCAGTCTGACATCCCCATGCTATGGAGGTGCTTCCGTTTGTGGCAATGATCAGTTAGAATGTTTATTGTTATTGTGGATATTCTGGTCAAATATTTGTTTGCTTTAGTGTACCCCTGGCCAGCTTAAGAGCTTCCTAAAAACTCTGCAGCATTCGCAGAGTTATATAATAAGGTTTGTTATGACCGATGTTGTTAGTTCAATGGAAAATTATTTGATTGGCTGCTTTCTTTGCTAGTGAATCAACAAGACGATGTGGCCTTTTGATCTATCTTAAGGTGACCACATTATTGTTGAAGGCTTGGTGGCAGTCTAATGTGGCCTAGTCTTGTCGAGTTAAATGGGGAGAAGCTAGGGATTTCTAACCTAATTTTATTTTCGTCTAGGATATGTTTGGAAATTTTCCAATCGCAGATATATGCCAAGTTAACCACATCTGTGATTACTGGGAAAATGTGTTGACAGCAGAAATTTTATTCTTTCTTCAAGCTTTGCAGTTTTCATACCATACTATTTGAATTGCGTACCGATACTGTGATGTGGATCTTTTAAGAGAGCTCTTTAAAGCCTTGCTGTATGTGGAAAAGCTTAAATTTCTTTATACTAAACTCTCCATTGCCTCTGTTTTTGTCCGATCACTTCTTGTATTCTAAGGTTAGATTTGTGTGTGTCCTAGTCCTAAGAGATTTCTTTGCCATCTTCCTGAGGTGTTCTAATGTATAATCATGTTGGAATAGCCTTGAGTAATTTTTCAAAGCATTATTATTGTTTGGTATCATGGACTTCACCTTTTTCGGGCCCGCTTTGAGAAGATGAGTATAGAATGACAGAGGTCGGCAACAAAAAATTTATTTTGAATGTTAACCACTGGTGGTCTGATATTGAGTTATCATTTGTCAATGGCCTAAATTATGTGGCATAGTTTTGTCAAGTCCGGCTAAATATTCAGCTAGTTTTTCTAAGATAAATTGCAGTTATTACCTGGTGTAAAATATTTATGTTTTCAAATAAATCATTCAAAAGCGTCCACATATCTATCCTTGACTCACGCCTTATATTCAATAATTTTACAATAAATGTCAATGTCTAACAACATAAAATTAAATTAATTTAGAGTGGATATGAGAAAATAGATAATTCTATTTGACATTTAATTTTTTATAGTCAATAGTTGGAAAAAATAACTTTTTAAAGTAAAACTTTTACCTTCTACTTTATATTGTAGTGTATTGAAAATGTGCCATGTAATTATAATATATTCACAAAGTTTCTTGGCTCTTGTTTAGCGAAGGTTAGGAAAACAGTGGGAATATAAATAAAAGATAAAAATAAAGATTCCAGAATTGTCCAGCGTTTACAACTGGCAGCAGACGTAATATTATAGAAAACGAAAATAATTGAGTTTATGGTTTATGTACTGAATTTTATTGAGTGTTAAAATTTAACACATGATTCTTAAAAACAATTATTTTCACTTTAATATCTTTTATTCAAAATTTATCAAAAATTAGGAGAGTCATGTTATCTAAGAACGTCGCATGTGGCTCTCTTAGTTAATGTTGATATCATTGAATGCATCACATATTGTATTTAAGATAAATAATATATATCACATACGGCTTTTATTTCTAATGCAGCCCTTGAAAATTAAGTAGAGAT